GGATGAGGACTGGGGCGGGGGGTAAGGGCAGAGGGGGGGGTGGGAACCGGGTGAAGAGGAGCTATGGGGGGGGAAAAAAGAACAACTGTAATAATCTGAACAATAAAGATTTAATTTAAAAATAATGTAAAAAAATAAAATAAATACAATAAAAAAAATAAAAAGATAGTGTAAGTTTCTTGGTCATTTGTTTTAAAGATCCACTTTGAAAGCATGCCTTTGAAACTGCATAGGCACCCTCCTGCCCACTGAATTCAGGCCATCTCCTTCAATTTCAGCCCTCTGTAGCTAGCTGCAGAGTTAGATGCAGCCTAATGAGGCCTGCTTGGCAAAAAAAAAAAAAATCCCTGAATTAAAATTAACATGCCTTTCCCATGTACTGCCATTACAAGGTGACAGCTACAGTTTATTGGGGAAGTTCCTTTAGAATGCTGAGTGTAATGTACAGTAAGATGTTGCTGGGGCTTCCCTGCCGAATTCCTTTTTTCCCTTTATCGTTGTCCTAACCTTAGCTTCTCTCTCCCACCTGAGCCTAGCTGAGGAGACTAAATCATGGAGGTGAAATAACTTGCTCATGGTCATTTAGTGACAAAGTGGCGGTGCTCGGCTGAACCCTGCTCTCTTCCCTGCCTGCTGAGGCTCCCTTGCTGGTTGCTGATATCCTTAGTACTGAGCCCAGACTTCTCTATTGACTTTTAGAGCTCCTCACACATGGGCTTTGGTCTACCCATCTTTGTATCTTTCCCCTACTCTCCTGTCCACCCTTAGCTCTGTTCCACTGGTTTGCCTTCTTGCTCCCCTCATGTACCCAATTTATTTTACCTCTGTGCCTTTTCTCATGTCAATTTAGTACTTTGGCCTGGAAGGCCCTCCCACCACTCTGTTCTGTTGTTTTAATTCTTAACCCAGAAGACTATGTTTATATCACATGTCTTCTATGAAGCACTTCCTGCTGTCCCAATCCCTTTTTTTCTGGAATTTGTATTGTTAGTTTGCGCTATAGTTCAGCTCTTGGTTCTTTCCTCTGTGATCATCTTATCTCCTTAACTGGATTGTGATTTTTGTTGTTGTTGTTGTTAATCCTCACCCAAGGGTATTTTCTCCTTCTATTTTTAAGAGAGAATGGAAGGTTGGGGGAGAGAGTGAAACATCCATGTAGGAGAGACACATTGATTGATTGCCCCCCGCACCCCATCCGGGGATCAAACCTGCAACTCTTCGGTCCACAGGCCCATGCTCTAACCACTGAGCCATGTTGGCGAGGGCAGATTGTAACTTTCTTAAAGGCAGGGACTAGATGCAGTTAATGTCCCCCACAGAACACAATGCCCATGATAGGAACTCAAAAGTAATTACAAACTAAAATGGATGATTACTTGCTTTCAAACTTGAGCTTCTGTAAGTAAATGTCCCAATTTATATAAAAGCTCAGAATTTCCACTTGGCTTAAGAGTTGCCTTGATCCCTCCTGTGTTGTCCTACCTCAGGTCACCATTCTTCAGCTGCATCATGAAGAATGCTTTCCCCACTGAATTCTCATACCTTAGTGCTGGTGCTTGCTGCAAGTACCAAGGATTATTGGATTCCGTTCCCAAGCCCTAAGATGGGCTTCCTAGATTGTGGTGGAGGGAACCCTGATTGGAAGGGCACCCTGTATTGACTTTCTGCATTGTGTCCCAGACTATACCATTCTGGACTGCATTTACAGTGAGGCGAAGCAGACCTACTACATTCTGGATGTGATGTGCTGGCGGGGCCACCCTTTTTATGACTGCCAGGTAAGGAACAATAATCTCCTCATGTGTTCTGTTTTCTCCATTTCTTGCATCTTTGAGTTTGTTTAAGTTAGCTTTTCTTTTTAAATATGGAATGCTTCATGAATTTGCAGGTCATCCTTGCACAGGGGCCATGCTAATCACTGTATCGTTCCAGTATTAGTATATGTGCTGCTGAAGCAAGCACAATATAGTAAATTCTTGAGGGGAGGAAAGATAGAAACAGGGCAGAAGGGTAGGCTAGGACTTTGTATAAGTTGCAGCTGCCCCCTGCCCTCTCCAGAGTCTTGGGAGGATTGTTGTCAGGGAAGATTGTAGGTGAAGGGAATGCCTTTGATCAAGATAGAGAAGGTGAAATGTAAGACATCATCTAGTAGACTCTTGCAGAAAGTCAGTACAGGGGAAAAAGAACAATTGTGAATAAAAAAATGGGAATAAGTACATACTATCAACAATCATTTTAAATGTAAATGGATTAAGTGCTCCAATAAAAAGACATAAGGTAGCCCTAGCTGGTTTGGCTTAGTGACTAGAGCGTTGGCATGCAGACTTGAAAGGTCCCAGGTTTGATTCCAGTCAAGGGCACGTACCATGGTTGCAGGCTCTTCTCTGACCCGAGTCTTGGTCAGGGCGGGTACAGGAGGCAACCAATCTATGTGTTTCTCTCACATCAATGTTTCTCTCTGTCTTTCCCTCTCTCTTCCACTCTTTCTAAAAAATTAATGGAAAAATATCCTTGGGTGAGGATTAAAAAAAAAAAAAGACAAAAGGTATCTGAGTGGATAATAAAATAAGATCCAGCCCTAGCCGGTTTGGCTCGGTGGATAGAGCGTTGGCTTGCGGACTCAAGGGTCCCATGTTCGATTCCGGGCAAGGGCATGTGCTTTGGTTGCGGGCACATACCCAGTGGGGAGTGTGCAGGAGGCAGCTGATCGATGTTTCTCTCTCATTGATGTTTCTAACTCTCTATCTCTCTCCTTTCCTCTCTGTAAAAATTCAATAAAATATATTTTTTTAAAAAAAGATCCATACATACACTGTCTGCAAGACCCTTTTCCAATTGAAAGATACACAAATTGAAAGTAAAGGGGTGGAAAAAGATTTTTTTTTAAATATATTTTTATTGATTAAAGAGAGGAAAGGAGAAGGGAGAGAGAGAGAGAAACATCAGTGATGAAAAAGAATCATTGATCGGCTGCCTCCTGCACACTACACACTTGGGATTGACCCCACAACCCGGGGATATGCCCTGACTGGGAATTGAACCATGACCTGCTGGTTCATTTGTCAATGTTCAACCACTGAACCACACTGGCCTGGCAGAAAAATATATTTTAAGCAAATGCAAATGAAAAAAAAATAGCTGGCATAACAATACTTCTATCATATAAAATAGACTTTAAAACAAAGGCTGTAATAAGAGACAAAGAAGGACACCTTATAATGATAAAGGGATTTATCCAATAAGAGGATATAATACTTGTAAACATTTATGCAACCAACAGCAGCACCTAATATATGAAGCAAAAATTGACAGACCTTAGCTTCTGTAAGGAAGAGATCAACAGAATTACAGTCATAGTAGGGGACTTTAACACTCCATCATCATCCAAAGCAATCTATAGATTGATCTTCCAGAAAGACAATCAACAAGGAAAGCAGCCTTAAAGGACATATTAAACCAGCTGGATTCAATTTATATTTTTAGAGCATTTCACTTCAAGGCAGTAGAATATACATTCTTTTCAAGTGCTTTTGAAACATTTTCCAGGATAGATCACATGTTAAGCCAGAAAACAGTTCTCAATGAACTTAAGAAGATTGAAATCAAATAAAGCATCAAATCAAGATCAAGGAAACAAACAAAAGATATCTTGAGACAAATGAAAATGAAAACACAACAACCCAAAGTCTATGGGACACATTAAATAAAAGTCCTAAGAGGAAAATTTATTGCAGTACAGGCCTACCTCAAGAAACAAGAAAAAAATCTCAAAGTCTAACTTTGCAATTAAAGGAGCTAGGAAAAGAACAAGATACAGACCCCAAAGTGAGTAGAAGGAAGGAAATAATAAAGATGAGAGTGGAAATAAACCAAAAATAGTCTAAAAAAGCATCCAAGAGCTGATTCTTTGAAAAGATAAACAAGATGGATAATCCTTTAACCGGGCTCTTCAAGAATAAAAGAGTAGCCCAGCCAGTGTGGCTCAGTAGTTGAATGTCAACCTATGAACCAGGAGGTCACAGTTCGATTCCTGGTCAGGGTACATGCCCAGGTTGCAGGCTCAACCCCCAGTAGGGGGTGTGCAGGAGGCAGCTGATCAGTGATTCTCTCTCATCATTGATGTTTCTATCTCCCTCTCTCCCTTTCTGAAATCAATACTCTTTTTTTTTTTTTTTTTTTAAGAAAAGAGCTTGCCCTAGCTGGTTTGGCTCAGTGGATAGAGCAATGGCCTGTGGACTGAAGGGGTCCCAGTTTAATTCTGGTCAAGGGCACATGCCCAGATTGTGGGCTTGATCCCCAGTAGGGGGCATGCAGGAGGCAGCCAATCAATGATTCTCTCTTATCATTGATGTTTCTCCCTCTCCCTTCCTCGCTGAAGTCAATAAAAATGCAAATAAATAAATAAATAATGGAAAGAAGGAAGGAAGGAAGGAAGGAAGGAAGGAAGGAAAAGGAAAGGAAGGAAGGAAGGAAGGAAGGAAGGAAGGACGGACGGAGGGAGGGAGGGAAGGAGAGAAGGAGAGAAAGAAGAAAAGAAAAGAGCCCTGGTCAGTTGGTTGGAGCATCATCCCATACACCAAAAGGTGGGTTTGATTCCCAGTCAGGGCACATATCTAGGTTGTGGGTTCTTTCCAGGTTGGAGTGTGTAAGGGAGGCAACTGATCTGTTTCTCCCCACGACCCCCATCTTTGTTCTGTAATCAATAAAAAACATGAGTTTGGGTGATTTTAAAAGAATAAAAAGAGAGTACCCAAATAAATAAAATCAGAAATGAAAGTACAACTGACACCATAGAAATACAAAGAATTATTAAAAAAATACTACAAAAAATTACATTCCAACAAATTGGACAATCTGGAAGAAATGAATAAATTTCTAGAAACATACAATCTTCCAAGACTGAATCAAGAAAAAGCAGAATATCTGAACATACCAATTACTACCAACTGAAACCAAATCAGTAATCAAAAAACTCTCAACAAATACAAGCTCTAAACCGGATGGCTCACAAGTGAGTTTTATCAAACATTCAAAAAATTAACACCTATTCTCCCAAGCTCATTTTATGAGGATGTGAATACCATCATTTCAACCCTGATGAAGACATTACAAAAAGGATATGTATAGACCATTATCTGTGACGAACATAGGTGCAAAAATCCTCAACAAATTTTTAGCAAACTGAATTCAGCAATACATTCAAAAGATTTTTTAATGACCAAGTGGGATTTATTGCTAGGATGCAAAGTTCCGGAATCGAACCTGGGATCCCCCAGTCCGCAGGCTGACGCTCCATCCACTGAGCCAAGCCGGCCAGGGCTCAAAAGATTTTTTAATGACCAAGTGGGATTTATTGCTAGGATGCAAAGTTGGTTCAATATCTTCAAATCAGTAAACATGATACAACCTCATATCATCATATTAACATATGCAGGAAACGCAAATGAGCCTTGGCTAGGTAGCTCCATTGACTAGTACCATCCCAATATGCCAAGGTTGCGGGTTCAATCTCTGTTAGGGCACATGCGAAAACAACCAATGAATGCATAAATAAGTGCAACAACAAATCAATATTTCTCTTTCTGTCTCTTCCTTCCTCTCTCTCTAAAATCAATAAATAAAAAGGTCATTTGACAAAATTCAGCAGCCTTTTATGATAAAACGTCTCAGCCAAGTTGGAATAGAGGGAATGTACCTCAACACAATCAAGTCCATATATGACAAACCCACAGCTAACTTCATAGCCAATGGGGAAAAGTTAAAAGTGTTTTCTTTCAAACTAGGAACAATATAACATTTGCACCACTTCTATTCAACATAATACTGGAACTCCTAGCCACATCAATTGGACAAGAAAATGAAATAAAAGGCATGCAAATTGGAAAGGGAGAAGTAAAGCTGTTGCACTGGCTGGGATTGCTCTGTTGCTCCCTGAGTCCGCCCCCCCCCCCCCCCCCGCCAGAATAGGTGTTAATTTTTTATGCACCAAGGTTGTGGGTTTGGTCTCTGGTCAGGGTACATGCAAGAATCAACCAATTAATGCATAAGTAAGTGAAACAACAAATCTGCCTTCCTCTCATATCAATAAAAAATTTAAAAAAAATTTTTAACACCGAAAAAAAAAGAGAAGGAAATCTGTTGCTTCCTTCAGCAGCACACATACTAAAATGGAATGCTACAGAGATTAGCATGGCCTTTGGGCAAGGATGACATACAAATTCATCAACCATTACATATTTGGAGGATTAAAAAATACAAATTGGCAGTTACAAAATTGTCATGGGGATGTATAGTACAGAATAGGGAATATAGTCAATAATATAATAACTGGTATCAGATGGGTACTAGACATATCAGGGTGATCACTTCATAAGTTTCATAGATGATTAATAACTATGGTCCTCCTGAAGCTAATATAATGTATGTTGACTCTAATTAAAAAATAATTTTTTTATTTAAAAAAATATATTTTTATTGGTTTTTGGATAGAGGAAGGGAGAGAGAGAAAAACATTGATGGAGACATTGAGCAGCTGCCTCCTTCATGGCCCCTACCAGGAATTGAGCTGGCAACCTTTGGGTGCACAGGACAACACCCAACCAACTGAGCCACATCAGCCAGGGCAAAGAAAAATTTTTATTTTAAAAGTGAAGTAAAGAGAACCAAGATGGTGGCATAGGTAAACACCTGTACTTTCTGCCTTTCACAACCACATCAAAATTACAACTAAAAGACAGAACAACTATCATCCAGAACTACGGGAAAGCTGGCTGAGTGG